TATCCAATAACTGCAATTTCCGTGGCCTCGCTTATTATGAATTCTTTTTTTGCCCTTGTTTTAGCAAAAACATTTTCGTTCCCCCTAAATTTTCGATAAAGTCTCAGAAAATATCGTTCATACGGTTGAATGCGAGCGGGATATAATTCACTGTAGTATTCTCTTGCTCTCAAGGAGGATTTTCTGCACACTAAATAGCATTCTAACATATCACACTTTTCTTCATGGGAGAACATTTTTCTTTAAATTAATGACACAATAAAGCTTATAAACAAGTATTTACACTAATGTTTGACATTATTTGATTTTATCATTGTTTTCCAAAGCCTTCTAGTTGCGAGTATGTCCAGTTTAACAATTTGTCGCTTATCTTAATGCTGTCAAATCACGAACGCCATGTTGTTTTCATAGCCGTCTTAATATTATAATACTGCAAATAATTAAAAATATTTATCGTTATTTTGACTTTATTTTTGACTTTAGCGGAAAAGTCATTATGAACTTTTTTGTTTAAAATTTGATGCTTTAACAGAAAAAAATATAATATACAGGGGTTTCCATTTAAAAAAATGTATTTTACTGAAAAAAATCAAAATAACGACTCTCAGTTGTTTTTTTTTATTTCTCATTTTTACCAGCGTTACAAATGCTACTAGTTTGCTAATTCAAACAACTTTGTATTTTCACTAATAACAAAGTTACTAATGGTGGACACTTAATTTGGATAATCCTGTATACAAGACGATGCAGAAAGGAGTTTTACTGGCAACTGCTCGTACAGTTAGGAAGTTCATAGTAAATGCGAAAAGTAACGTCCTTACGTAACAAGCTGCGATAAAACTCATACCCTTTGATGTCATAAGCATCTGGGATGAGTGAATGTCACCCCAATGAGGAGAAAAATGCCATGTGGCTAATAAATAATAATAATGATGACAATACCATACCATACCATATCGTACCATCTATTAACCACATTATACAGGGTGTCCCAGAAGTCGACGTCAAGCCGAAACCGGGTGATAGGCAAAGTCATAACAGCTATCAGAAAAATATCTAAACAAATTTTATGTATGTGTTTTGAAAATTATAGGTCTTTGAAAAAAATATAGAAATTTCACACCCTACGGCAGTCTGTCAACTCCTGTTACTACAAATATTAACTTTTTTTGGATTTTATTTCTACAATGTAATGATCAATAATGCATCTTCAAACTGGTGTCTCAACCTTGCTGCCAACTTTTCTCGTTCAGGAAATATTGCCACTTATTTCCCAACCAAGTATTCCACAGTAAAACTTTGCTCAACTTTAACTGGCTATACTGGAAAAAAATGTACTACGAGAGTTTGGCAAGTAACCTTAAAAGTTGGCGCATTTAATAAGGATTCCAAAATGGTATAACACTTAGAAGATTACTCGTTAACTTATGCAAAATTTTTATTTGAAGAAAAACTGATGAAAATTTTTCAAAATTTCCTAATTAAACAGCGATTATGAAAACGCACAAGGACCCTTAAGGATAACTGTTCGCACAACAGTGGGCGTCAAAATGCTGCTGATGATGATTTACCTTTACAGCAAATGCTCAAACTGTTTTCCTTCAGCCGCAATACACGCTCGACATCTTAAAAAAGATCGGGTTATTAAACGAGCGAATCCACGGTTATTAACAAACTCAGCTGCTTCCAATAGTCTTTGCCGTAGCTCAGCTACATTTTGAATCGGCTTGAAATACACTTTTTCTTTTACAGTTCCCCAGTAAAAAATCTAACGGATTCAAATCTGGTGACCGGGCTGGCCACGGTATTGTACCAGACCGCCCTATCCATCTGCCTGGAAAGTTTTGATCGAGATACTCTCTCAGTGAGAGTGCATAGTGCGCTGGGCAGCCATCATGCTGAAACCACATGTCCCTGTAAATACTCAGTGGCACGTCCTCCAATAAATTTTCTAAATGATTTTGCAAAAAACCTAAATAAACCTCAGCAGTCAAAGTCTCTGGGAACTCAAACGGACCGATTATTTTACCATTTAAAATTCCTGTCCAATGGTTTATCTTGAAGCGATATTGAGATTTATCTTCTCTCATCAAATGTGGGTTTGCTACGTGCCACTCGTGTAAGTTATGCAGGTTCATGTAACCATCTTTCTTAAATGTGGTTTCATCTGACCATAAATTTTTTTGAAAGAACCGTGGATCTTCCCTGTGTCTTTCTATCCAGAAAATGCTGTTATACTAAACTTAACCTAAGCCTGGCAATGTCAATTATCATGTATTGTTCATTTTTGGAATCAAAATCAGAAACTCATCTCTGAAAAAATCCAATTTGGCGTCTATAAGAACAAATAAAGTTGATACTGGAGGACAAAAGAAAACAACATATTGAAATTCTAACTATACCATCTTGTACAGGAGAAAAAATGGCAATGTAAATGTTCAGTTTCTTTTTAAATCTCACTGAAAATAAAGACAGAATTTTTTTTGGATTTGTTTTTTCAGTCTTTCCCCGAAAGTACTTTGAATTTCGAAACTTCCTAAGCGGTGATTTGTTAATTATCTGAATGCGCAATTTTACCACTGTTCAAGTGACTTCGTATCTCTTACTATTTCCGATATCCTAATGGTGAAGGTCGAATTTGAAACTCCCGGCATATCAGAAAATCTCCTTCTATTGACATTTCTCAAAAAATCAAGAATTACATAACTCATTGAAAATTATGTCGCATGGTCTAACTTTGAGCTACTGTCCATACTTAATTTGTAAACTTTGACAATACTAACTCCAACAACGTTTCCATCACCAACTCCCATCAGATACATATGCGTCATGTTGAAGTAAGAGAAAGGAATAACTCCGAAGCAGCTGTAGATTATCGGCTTCCTCTGGTTTGGGAGTATCCAAGTACAATACTTAAAGTTAGAAGTACCAATGACGACCATCCCATAAAGGTCACTGACCACATCTGAAAATTGATAATCAATTGCAAGTCGTAAAATTGGCCATTCCATGAAATGGTCACAAATATCTTCATGGGCGCCCAATAGACGGAGTATGGTTTGGAAGTAAAATACAGGGTGCGGCAGAGAGGATGGACGGTTTTAAAAAAATCATAAAATAGTTAATTTTTACTCGAAAACAAATTTATTGATGGAATCAGGTTCACAAGGAAATAGCATTTGAGACAGTCAAGTGTGGAAAATTACATCAGGCATGTGGTGGCCGAAGTCGTTGATGCAGTGCTGGAGGCGTTCTTAGAAGTTCGCGTAGACTCTCTCCAACATCGCTCTCTCAACTTGGGCGACTTCCACGAGAATTTCGCCCTTCAATTCGTCCAGAGTTCGGAGCTTGTTCGCATATACTCTAGCCTTGAGGTGTCTCCATAAGAAAAATCGCATATGGATAAATCTGGGGACCGAGGAGGCCAATGAACATCGCCAAACCTGGAAATAAGGCGACCAGGGAAGAGAGGGCGAATAACGTCCATGGATGCTCGGGCTGTGTGGCCGGTCGCCCCATCCTGCTGGATCCATATGCAAGATTCGCCTTACCGAACGATCACTAAGGCGAAGTGCAGCAGCATGTTTCCGGGCAGATCGAGTCGGACTGCGAAGAAAGATCTGTCGAACGCGTTCAACATTTTCAGGAGTTCGAACTGTTCGCGGCGCTCCTCTTGGTCTTATGTTGATCAGTTCACCACGCCTGCGAAGTGATTCAACCCAACGAAGGATGGTGTTTCGAGAGGGAACAGCTCTATTCCGATTCAGTTTAATTGAAAGTAATATACTATTAAATTGATTTGCTTGAAAATAGATGGTTACCTGTTTCACTAAACTGTTCAATTAGTTAAGTTAATTTGGTTTATGTAGAAAAGGTACATTTAAAGTAATTAAGCATTTTAATAAAAACAGCTAAACTGTTTATTTGAAACGCGGACCCGGCTCCTCAGTCGTGAATGATCGGGAGTATGCGACACACGCAGTGCTGGTGATGCGCTTCGAACTCCTCAGTTTCATTTGCGATTTTCTCGAGGAGCCGCATATTCGAATGTGGCCATTGTTGATGTAGCAGCTACAAGGTGGATCAATTATGGTGATCAAGCAAAATACTCAAGCATTAGGCTCTAACCAGGTTGGAATAGACTAAATATAATTCAGTTGTTTTACTTGGAGCAGGTAAACTAATTTTGATACTTCATTAATTTCAAGTAAATTAGTATACTCAATCTAAGTAAACTAGATTCATAGATTAAGTAAACTGTTATAGAAATCGGAGTTCAACCAAACTATCTAAACGTGTTAGCAATCACATACTTAACGAATGTTTTTAATTCTTAGTCTCTTAACACAAAGTGCCATCCAACCACAAGCGCCCCCCCCCCCCCCGAGATTGATAAAAACGAATACTGGAATTCCATTGTGACCTCTCTTGTATTTTGCTGTATGGGCGCCCATGATTCAAATTGAGCTTAAAAATTTTCAATGAACGTCTTCATGCCTGAAAACGACATTTGTGCTTATTTTCCTTCTAAAAGGCATTTTTTACAGACCATAGTATCACATTTAGGCACGGTTTTTCAATTGCAGGTTAACTGTGATTTTACAGGTAACCAGAAGTGAACTCTTAACTCTTAAAATGTCAGGTTTGTCCTAAAACGGTAGTTGAGTTTGGCCAGAATCTATTAGTTAACTAGAAAGTTGTAGTTACACCACAACCTTTTCTGCTTGACAGCGAGATAAGTTGTCGCGGATGACACGACACACAAACATCGAGATCACAAAACTTACAAAACATGATATTTCAGACGTAGACGTAGAGGTAGCGTTGTTAGATCAACCGTAACGTGTTAGTTAAACCAGTTAACTTAAAAGTTATAGTTGCCAAGCTTAAAAGTTAATCAGCGATTTAAAAACCGGGTATCACAGTAAAGCATAGAAAATACTGACATACTCTTACCATATACGAGAAAATCGTGGCAATATATGAATATCTCACAATAAGGAGTAACAGCGATTTGGTTATTGTACCTATACATCTCCATAATATAGCTCGTTTACTTTCACCTAAAAAGGAAATGTATTCCATCTACTGTATGGAGTCTATGACATCGAGGATATTTTCCCTACTATTGTCCAAAAAATAGGGAGACTACATCAGAAGATCCTACAGTTTGGGGACAGCAATTTTTTTTGTGGTATGTTGGATTATATACTAAGTGACATATAAATCCGAACACCCAGTTTAAATGGTTTTATTTTAATAAAAGTTGGTGAATGTATTCATCTTACTGTAAATAACAAGTGAAAAAATTTTCAGCCTTATCAGTTGGACATTCCGGTTTTTATACTGCTTTTTTTAATTCACTAACGCTCTAAAAATGAATATTTCAGCCGCAGTAAAGAATCAACGTTGGCGGATTTTGGTTCTTGACGTCCTTTACGATCGGTTACGATGCCTAGAGTACGGAGACCTGTACGATTTCGTCAACATAGTGAGTTTGATAGGGGCCGTATAGTGGGACTTCGGGAAGCTGGACTTTCTTTTCGGGCAATTGCAGTTAGAGTGCAAAGAAGTGTAGACACTGTGGTTAGGTGTTGTCAGTCATGGCTTCGAGAAGGCCGTACGCAAAGAGCAAGAGGCACTGGACGCCGCCGTAGAACAACAGACCGTGAAGATCGCCGCCTAAGATTATTGGCCTTAGGGGACCATTTCTCCACTACCAGGTCTATTGCAAATGAATGGTTTGCAGAACACGGAAGACCTATTGGCGAAGTGTTTACCGACGAATGAGAAGTTTTGGCTTGTTTTCATACCGGCCACACTGGGTCCTCCCTTTAACTCGAGAACACCGACGTAATCGCCTTGAGTGGTGCAGACAACGGTCATTCTGGGATCAGGAATGGAACATGTCTTTAGTGACGAGTCTCGATTTTGTTTAGGCATGCACGATGGTCGTGCCAGGGTTAGAAGGCGACGTGGTGAAAGGAGGAATCCACAGTTTTTTGTTGAAAGACATGTTCATCACACTGTTGGAGTTATGGTTTGGGGTGCTATAGCTTATGGTTCCAGATCACCTTTAATCTTCATCAGAGGTAACATGAACGCGCAACGTTATATGCACGAAGTTCTAGAATATCTTTTACCCTATCTTGACACCCTGGCAGATCCAACTTTCCAACAAGATAATGCCCGACCACATGTTGCAAGAGTCACAATAGACTTCTTTCAACATAATGATGTCACATTGTTACCATGGCCACCAAGATCTCCCGACTTATCCCCAATTGAGCACGTGTGGGATATGATGGGTAGGAGATTGCTCAATTTGTTACGTCCTCCTCAGACTCTAGAGGCACTTCGAGAGGAGTTGGTTGCCTGGAATGAGATACCACAGGAGAACATTGACCACCTGATCAGAAGCATGCCTATGCGCGTTGGAGAATGCGTAGCACATCAGGGTGCATCCACACATTATTAAAGGTCAAAGGGCTTTAAAGCAGTGCAATCATTTTGAAATTTTTATCATTTACTTATTATGCTTCATTAAGTACTTATACAAAATTTTATTAAAATAAAACCATTTAAACTGGGTGTTCGGATTTATATGTCACTTAGTATACAATATCATTAGCGCCATTTTGATAGACGCGTTTTATCGAATATCTCGAAAACCATCCATCCTATGCAAAAAAGTAATTAAAAAATCTCTGGAATTGAATTCTTCATCATTTTGCTTGTATAAAATGTATCGTATAATCAACAGCTTACGAGAAATTAAAAGGTAACGGTAATGATATACAGGGTGGCGCATCGAAAACGAAACAGACGCATTTACTGGCAGTTCAGTTTTTTTTGGAAAAACGTTCAGACCCGTCGATTTTGTTTTCGAGGGGTACACAAGTTTGGCAAAAAATCACGTTAATACGTGCAGCCCCCTGGGCGGGGGTGACACCAACCCTAAAATCTTAAATGGAAAGTGGGGTCGAGTGATACCTTATTTTAAAGGTCTTTCAGTTCCCTTTATAATGTTGAGTAGTTGAGTAGTTTTGAAGATTTATTGATTTAAAGCTTAAAATAGACTTTAATAGGTACATCAGATTAGTTTGTACTACTTCCAGAAGAAATTTGACTAAAAGAATTTACTTAATAAGTAAATGTTTTTCTTCACTACGACCATGGTTTGTTTATCATTTTGTTGTTGAAAATAGCTATTGGAGCGTTTTTTTTTGTGGCAAAAAACTTATTTCTTGAAGAAAGATAAGGAAATAACTCGTACTTATTTTAAATAGGAATTTAGTACATAGTTTGCGATTGATTTGACCAAACTTTGTTGCTAAAATAACTTGTAACGCTTTATTACATAAATTAACCATGGTATATTCCATAGCAGAAAGAGTTGAAATTATCGAAATATTTTTCGGAAATAATCAGTGCGCTAATAGAACAGCAGAGATATTTAATGGGCGACATGAGAACAGTAACGTGCATCGAAAGTATGTTCTGGAACTTGTAGCTAAATCTCGGGAAACTGGGTCAGTCGCCAATAAAAAACGCAACATTGAAAATCCCATAACAAGCGAAGCAATAGAAGTGGGGGGTTTTAGGGCAAGTTTATATAGGTCCTACGTTAAGTACCCGCAAATTGGGGACTGTGTATGGCGTTAGTCGACGTACTGTCCAACGGATTCTAAAGGTCCATAGTTTTTTTCTAATCCCAGAATTTATCATGAGGTTCATACACAGCAGCCACAAAAATTAAATGTTTGGGCTGGTATTTTTGGCGATCATTTAGTTGGTACTTTTTTCTTACCTGGAAATTTGACCGGTGAAATGTATTTGGAATTACTGGAAGACGCCATTGATTCTGCATTAACAGCCATAATTGAAAATCAGAATGATCGGCGGTACATTGCGAATAGGTTGATGTTCCAACAGTATGGTGCCCCACCACATTACGCATTACGTGTTCGACAATATTTAGATGAGACGTTTCCAGATAGATGGATTGGTAGACGAGGTGCCATTGAATGGCCCCCAAGATCGCCAGATTTATCACCTTTGGATTTCTTTATGTGGGGTCATTTTAAAAGAAAATTACTCCTCAAATGTTGCAAAATGTGCGGCAACGTTTTGAGCAAAATCTTTATTATTGCATGGAGAGCCATGGTGGCCATTTTCAACATTTACTTACTTAACGGGTCAGTTCATTCTTCATTATTAAATTACTTTGCTGCCAAATGTATTGATCTCCACTAATGATGATGTATTAGTTTTATTTAAGCTTTAAATCAATAAATCTTCAAAACTACTGAACTGAAGTACATTAATTTTATATAATTATAAAGGAAATTGAAAGACCTTTAAAATAAGGTATCCCTCGAACCCCCTTTCCATTTAAGATTTTGGGGGTGGTGTGACCCCCGCTTAACGGGCTGCACGTGCTAACGTGATTTTTTGCTATACTCGTGTCCCCCTCGAAAACAAAATCTGAGCGTTTTTCAAAAAAAACTAAGCTGCCAGTAAATGCGTCTATTTCGTTTTCGATGCGCCACCCTGTATATTATATTATAATGGCTAAACTAAGAATCTAAGCGCATAAAACACTGGTACCTTTTTGTAGAGGACTCAATTGACTACAAAAAAATGCTATTCGAGATCTTGATGGTTCTTGAAAGGTAAGGATTCTCTCCCTTTCCCAGTTGAACACTCGTAAGGAAACAGTCCCGCGACATACTCTGGGCTACGTACGTTGTTCACGTAATCCACATAAAATATTATTTCACGTCGAGGTAACTTCATAATCGTTTTCTATGATCAAGAATGCAATTTTAAAGTGAATCTGTTTTTTACTGCCAAGTGTATGGAAAATTTAATATTTTTATAATCTGTTGACCATACGATAAAGCAAAATAAAGACTTTAATTCCCTAGCAGATTGTTTCTATTACGTTTTAAGTTAGGATCGATGGTTTTCCGATTCTCAATCGATCGCGTTTTTCGAAATAGCTGTAAATTTACACGTATTTTATTTTATAATTGTAGGAGCAAATTACCTATCTCTTGGCATGCTATTATAATCAGTAGAAGATGCTTACCACGTATAGACAGAAGCAAATTTGCATGCTCCGCTTTGTGCTAGAAGAATAATAAATACTAAGATTCAATTCCAAGATTAATATAGCAGTTTAAATTGACTAGAGAAAAATTACTGTAATACATCCATGTGAGGACGGAATATTGCTTGTAAACAAAAAGTTTTCAAAGAAAACAACGTATGGGTCGTTACACATATCTGGAACATGTTTCACAGGGTGTCCCAATTTTGAATCACAGATCAAACTTGATTTTTTTTTCAAAAACATATCCCAAGTTTTCAACAGCTCTGTATTCATTCAAAAAATATAAAAATGGATAAGCTAGGTATTCAGTATAATGAAAAAACGCAATTCAGTACTTCACCTGCCAAAAAAGCAGATATGCAGGCTGTCAAACTATCCCAGTAGCTCAACAGCCAATAATCAAAACTCACAAGAATCAACCTTCTTCTTCTTTTAAAAGGATCTGTCTGAATATGAAATAGAAAACAGAGTACTACTCTATTTAAAAAATCACTTCGATAAGTTGGCCAAATTGAGACACCCTGTAGGGTTGTGAAAATTTGAAAAACGTATTCCGAGATACCATATATGGTAGCCGTTAAGTAGTTTTATTAGGAAAGTTTTTGTTTTGAAGCTTTGTTTCGTCCTCAAATTGATGTGTCACACTGTATTAATCACATACAAACGGCCAGGGATTTCTGAACTACAGTTGAAATTGAAAAAAAAGAATATGTAAGATGTTCTGAAGTTGATCATGAAAGTGAAGTATGGCTGAAAACATTAAAGAAAGAAAACATTGCTTCATCCAGATGACATATGCCATACCTGAGGCCCCTCCTCCTTCTTTTGGTCCAACTTTACTACCTAAAAGATTCTTATGAGTACAGGTATGCAGATTAAATTTTAGGATTATACATACAGAGTGTTTCAGCATTTTCCCTCTAGTTCTCCATTTTTCTTGATACAAGCGTTTCTTCTCCTCCATTCGGTATTTCTGTAATAGTCATGTGTTCCTTAATGATATGCGAATATTTAAGGATGTGAATCTACATGAAAAATTAATGTTAGTTTGCTTTATAAACTATGGTCCAAAAATGTTTCCTTACAAAAACTCGGGGTGTTGAAGCTTTAGGAAAAAAATGGAAATTAATTAATATTTTCAGAACCGCTTCAGATATTTCAGTGATATTTACTAGGCAGTGAAAGTTGATAAAGTTGCATATTTTTCAGTGCAATAATAATTTTTAGCTTTTTTAGTAAAACAATAAAAACCGTTCTATTGTCCGAGAAAATTAATGTAATAATTAAAGAATGCATTTAGCAATAAATATCTAGTTGCTCTCTAATAAGTCACTGGCTTTTGACATCTGACAAGTCTCTGTTATTCAAATCTGTTCGCTGTGACATCTTTTTCATTATTGAGTTTTTACAATCTTGTTAATAATGGTGAATTATTCAAATGCAGAGAAGGCGGAAATGCATTACGTATATGGCCTTGCCGACGGTAATGGTGACCAAGCCAGACGGACTTATCACCAGAGATATCCCGATCGTGCTTTACCAGATAGTCGAACCTTTTCTTACATTCATCGTCGTCTTGTTGAAACTGGTTCTGTCCGAAAAGGAACATCCGAAGGTAGACCGCTAAGTGTGAGAACCCGTGAAATTGAGGAAGCAGTGCTGCACGAAGTCGAAAAACATCCTAAAACGAGTACGAGGAAAATCGCTAGACACTTAAATATTTGCGATCAAATTGTTTGGGGAATTTTAGTGGATTTTTTTGTTATATCCTTACCATATTTTAAGAGTACAGGCATTAATTTCCATTGATTTTCCAAGGTGTGTGACCTTTTGTCAGTGGAATCTTCAAAAAATTACGCAAAATCCGCAATTTGAATCAATGATTATGTTCACGGACAAAGCTAATTTTTCTCGAAATGCCATTCAGAATTTCCAAAATAATCATTTGGGGGCAGAAGAAAATCCCTATGCCGTAACCGAAACCCATTTCCAGCACCAATTTTCGGTTAACGTATGGGCAGGAATTATTGGCAACCACTTTATTGGCCCATTCTTCTTGCCGGGACGACTTGACGGAGAGACTTACCTCAATTTTTTTCAAAAACAGTTGCCTTTGCTGCTTGATGATGTTCCGTTAGTGATAAGAAACAATATGTGGTGCATGCATGATGGTGCACCAGCGCATTTCAGTGTAGCGGTCCGTAATTGTTTACAAACTGTTTATCCAAATCGTTGGATTGGCCGTGGTGGTCCCCAAGACTGGCCACCAAGGTCCCCACACCTCAACTGTTTAGATTTCTTTTTGTTGGGCTATCTTAAGACACTAGTGTACACAAGTCCCATCAACACTGTAGAGAAATTAAGAGAAAGAATAGTTGCAGCTTGTGATAGAATAAAAAACACTCCAGGGATATTTCAACGAGTGCGCAATTCCATGAGGAGGGCGAAAGCATGCATACTAAGTGAAGGGGGTCATTTTCAACAATTTTTGTAATAATTTGATTGGTTTTAATGTTATGTTCATGTTGCCAGTTCATTACCCCTAATGTGTTTAATTTTTCCAATTAAATTAATAATAATTTTGCAAGTTAGACAATAGAACGGTTTTTATTTTTTTACTCAAAAATGGCGCATTAAAGGAAAACAATTCAAGAGAGATCATTTGTTTGAAATTGAACGTGGAATTCAAAAATAATTTTTATTTGGCAAAAAACTATTGGCGTACCATTTTTTTCTTAAAAAATATCGAAGTCAATACCCGTACGCACGCCACTGTTAAAGCTAAAAATTATTTTTAAATTGAAAAATATGCAACTTTCTGAAGCGGTTCTGAAAATATCAATTAATTTCCATTTTTTTCCTAAAACTTCAACACCTCGATTTTTTGTAAGGAAACATTTTTGGACCATAGTTTATAAAGCAAACTAACATTAATTTTTCATGTAGATTCACACCCTTAAATATTCGCATATCATTGAGGAACACCCTGTATATCTATGGCGCAAAGTTAATGTTTATTTACAAAAAAATTGTTTTCTACGGCTATGGAATAAGTAGAAGATATAGTTTAGCCATTGAGTGGTCATAAAAATAAAACAAAATAATCAGGTGCCGTTACTTTATCGCCCTGGGCATAAAGGGGTTTAAAAGTGGGACGTAACGCCCGGAAGGCCTTACCACAGATGAATAGTAATGGATTTGAATCGATTACCAACTAAAACAATTTTTGTTTTTTTGGTTTTGGCCAAGCATTCCGGACTTCGGCCCCACTGTGGCTCATGGTTAAATTAGTTAGTGACAACAAAGTATGGAACATGGAATGACTTGCTCCGCACCCACCTCAAAAATGTTGAGATGGTCTGCTACATTCACCATACAGTAATAGAGTATGTAGGTTATAATAGGATAAAGCAATTTGACTACGTCAGTGGTATCGGCTTCATAATGGCTGAAATGTGGTCCATAATCTGGTTCAGGTTTCATCAACTGATCTATTCCAATTATGCTGAAATTCGAAGTTGAGTCATTTATTTTAACAGTGAGTAGATCTGATCAAAAGAAATGCTTTTTTCCTTTGACATTTTTCTGGTAAAATTAAATTAACAAAGTTATAGCCCTTTAAGTTTGAGTACCGCCCTGTCTCAATAATATTATGTGCTCGTGTTTGGCAACAACGGATATAATCCGCCTTATCGGTTCATCGCATCGGAAACAAAAAAGCGAAAGAATTTGAAACGTTTATCACGATGTCAGTCAATGTTTCAGTCCGTAACACGTGAGTGAATAGTGGTGTTTGTTGCGTGGCTCAAACGAAATAAAAAATGGCACATGTTTACGAAAATGCTGAACTTGTGACCGCACGATCAAATACAGGTCCGCACTGAAATACTTGTCGGGAGGATACTTTATAAAACAAGGTAACATTTTTTTTTATTTTTTTTTTAATTTTTACACACATATTTTGGTTTATGTTCCTTCTACAATCATTATCTGAAAATTAATGACTCAACTTCAAAGTCACCCTACCCTGTATAGAGGGGCCTAAATATAAAGTGAGAACCGAAATATTCATAGCTCGGGACGGGTGTTACGTATCTTGAAAGGTGACATTATGTCCATCTTTTTTGACATTATATTGGTTTATTGTGACATTATGTAGGTTTTTCTACAAGATGTTAACTTAGAACTAGCTGGAGGACGCTTGTTCTGAACTCATTTTGTAGTTGTAGGTGTTGCCTGAACGTCATGATGCTTTAGTTATCAATATTGTGTGCTTCAGAGATGGCTTTACTGGAGGTCTAGGTTGTAAGTTGTATAGTATAGCTAGAAGGAAACAGCAATGCATAGGTGCATAGTGAGGATTTGTGTGCTAATAATGTGTGTTCATAATAATTCCATTGGATTCTTGTCTCAAATACACTTACTTGAGATTCAAAGCTAGAAATTAGTTGGACATCACTTTTTCTTATCCATTCTGAAAATTATACAGGGTGTCCGCAAAGTTTTGGTTTTCCTTTTCAGAAACAACTACCCTTGAAATAACAAAGGTAATTAATGTGTAGTGAAACGAGGGCGACCAAGTAAAAAAAATAAAGGAAAAAGTACTCAGTCTCCAGTTGACGAGAAGGGCTAAGTATACTTTATCTGAAGTCACTTGAAACACTGTGAAATCCGGGTGCGTTTTATATATCTATATTTAACACGCTCTGTTGCTGCAAAAATCGCCAAATTTCGCAGCAAATCAAATAAGTTCAAAGGCAGTTTCACCGGTCCACGTGGAGTAAAGCACGCCTATGCGTCGACATAGCCAATGAGAAAGCGTGTATTTCAGAGCTCCGAACAAGTGCAGGTGGCTACTGAAAATTGAAACAGTTTAGCCAGTGCCGTGTAGCGGTGAATAAACGTGTTTTCTTTAGTCTGTCCGTGTTTTTTCATAGATTTTATTAGTTTGTGTATTTTTGACTTTTGAATACTCAGTTTACTTGTTGATTTAATTGTTGTGTTGATTGTTCTTGTGTGTCCTAAATATGGCTCTTTGGAGACCTTGGGAAAATGCTCCAAGCCACGAGGAGATGGTTGATGAACCTGTGCAGGCAGAATTCTTTCATAAAGATTTAGAGGAACAGACCCAAAGAGTAAGCCTAAATATGTATGATTGTCTGAAAAACGAAAATCCAGATTTCTCGCAAAATCAAATTTTAAACAGAATTTGTATCCTGACAAAAATCAGTCGGTCTACCATTTATCGGGTTATAAAAAGGGGAGATGTAGTCAACCATTCCTTCCACAGAAAGCGCATAGGGCAAAAATTAAAAAGAATAGATGTGGGTTTTCAGGAAGATATTCGTCGTATAATATACGGATTTTATAAAGAAAATTTGGTGCCCACGTAGGAAATGATACGGGATAAATTAAAAGATTATCCTGAAGATTTTTATAATTACAAATGCTTAGACTCACTGCACTGTATTGTAAAACTGTGTGGTTTTCAATACAAAAAAAATTAGATAAAAGAATGGTGATTATGGAGTCGTCTCGAATCGTTGAATTGCGCCAAGAATTTTTGCACAAAGTTAAAATCTATAGAGAGCAGAAAAGAAATCTTTTTTTTTTTTTAACATATAATTGGCATTGAAAGTCATCCATTTGCCACAGATGTGTGTTACTTATATTTCTCTAATTATGGACAAACACACGACGTCACAACATCCATGGCGAAGGCGAGATTCGAACTCGCGGCCCGGCCGGCCGGCTGATCAGTAGCACGACACTCTGACCAACGCGGCCAACCGAGGCCCCAAAGGAAATCTGATTTACCTGGATGAAACGTGGTATGATACCCATGATGTTGTGCAGTACGGCTGGGTTGACGACAGCAACAAGTGCATTTTAAATGCACCATGCAACCGTGGAAAACGAATCATTATTCTCCATGCTGGCAGTGAAAATGGATTTATACCTAATGCCTTGCTG